GGCTGAAGATGTATAGCAGTGAGAAAACACAAAAATTCCTATTTTCAGCAAGTGTGGTGGCGCACACCTGTAATCCTAGGACTAGAGAGGCTGAGGCAGGATGATACGAGTTCGAGGCCATCCAGGGGTACAAATGAGTTCAAGGCCAGCTTGAACCACACAGTGAGTATCAAAAAGACAACAACAACAAAAAGAGACAAAAATCCCTACTTTCAGGGCATTAACATAACAGTGAGAATTATATAATAAATCAGTAAAAATATCATATCTAGTTATAATAAATGAATAGAGAAAAGGTGAATTATGGAAAGGGCTAGGAAATAGGTGCTGGTGATTGTAAACAGGCTGGCTGGGAAGGCCAAACCTGAGGGAGGTGAGGGAAAACATCATGAGGTTACTCAAGGAAAGAGTTTCTGACAGAAGAAACACACAAGCAGCGCGTGGCAAAAAGACCTACGTGCCCAGAGGGGCAGAGTACAGGTCTGAAGTCCTTTACCCAGACTACTACCATCCAAAAACTTTTCAGAACTCCATGCCCCTTTCAACTTCAGGCAGGGGCACACACCTGTCCCTCTTCTGGAACAGCATTCTAGTTCCTCTTCTCTGCATCAGGAGCTCCTAGCAGATTCCACCTCAGCGCCCTGCACCCACCTTTTCTTGCACTTTCTCTGGACAGCTTCCTTCCACCCCTAGGACCAGCAAGTGTCTGGGCTCTGGGGACACTGGTATTGTCACAGTATCATCACTTCTCTTGAGAGCCCCCCAAATGCTAAAGGACTGTTGCTAGAGAGATGGAAGCAGTATGTTAAGGGTCCAGCCACATGTCCTACAACAGGATTCTCACTTCAGCTGAAAACTGCACGTTTCTGCATGAAGCAAATGTCAGCCCTAATAGTGACATCTAATGAATAGTGATTAGTCATTTTCCATTCTTATGAGAAAATAAACTAAAATGATGGTAAAGAATTTGGTGGGAGGCTGGCTATGAATAAAGAGAAGAAAGAAAAGTAGAAAGAAGAGGAAGGATGGGAAGGCACAATAAAACTATAAAAGAAAAATATGAACAAAGTCAAAACAAACTCAACAGCCATCTCTTTTCCTGCAATTATTCATGAACATGGAAAGGAACCCTTTGCCATTAACTCTTTCCTGTATTTGTTCATCTGAGATGAGTCTTTAGAGAGTAATGAGATTTTTTTAATTTGTAAGATTTTTCATGGAGGGAGGAGAGGGGAACAAAAGGGACATAAAAAAATTTAGATATACACATAACAACACCCCATGATGAGTGTGATCAATATGTATTTGTTAATAAGCACGTACTAATAAAAATAAGAAAAAGATTTTGAAAGTCTTTAAAAATGGTTAGAAAATATGCATTAAACAAAAGATTTTTAAAGTGGTAGGCAACCCCACTGGCTTTCTCTCCTGAAACTGACAATAAAATTTCATTTTTTTTCCTTCTTTTTTATATCACCTACACAGGAAAGTGTTCATTTGCCTCGAAAACCCTGCAGTGACCCTGACACTCCAAAGTCAAGATCCTCCACAGGCAGGAAATGCCTTTGCCAGCTCCAAGGTCTCCTTCGGCAGCCCTCTCCATTGTCTGGATTTGTGTACATCTGACTTCTGAAGAGGTTTCCCTGCCTGCAACTTCGAATCAAAGAGTTATCTCAAAAGGGACCCACGGTGCTTTCCAGCCTTTCTGCCTAACATTTGGCCTCCACTGGGTGCCAGGTATTAAAGTCACTCCAGAAACTGAGGTTAACTCATGCATGTATCCCAAGACCCTCAACCCTCAAGGTAGGTGAAGGGGACTTCATCTGTCTTAGTGCCACCTCTGCTCTTATCTACCACTGTATCAATTCTGTAAAGATAGTGTTCCCTTCAGCCACATCTGAAAGGGTAGCTGCTATTCTATAGGCCTTGGAGCTGATTCTTTGATGAGTGGAAGGAATCTGCAAAGTGTTTAGCATCAGAATTTAACAACAATGTCAAATAAATTCAATTAGTTTTTTAAAAAGCAATATCAAAATACGTATCACCGGACAAAACTAGATTAGATGCAGAGAATCCAGCTGGGACTTCCATGAATCCAATGAGATAAAAGGTAAATGTTAACAGAGCATGTGATTATTTTGACCACAAGATACCAAACTCCTAACCATTGAGAAACATCTTAGGTGGCTGATTTTCCATATTCTATCCTGTGTTACTGTCAGTCACATAACTATCACTTCTAATCAAAGACTTAAAGGATCATTACTACATTTTTAAGAGAAATCAAGGGGTGGGCTTTTAAGTAGAATGGGAATTTTGGTGCATTCTAGCCCCAACAAAGTACATTCTTACCACCAAGTCCAAATATACAAGTTTGCTTGAATTCCTGTCCTGCCCCCATTAACTAAGATGAATATTCACAGTAATAAAACCACAAGAACAAGCTTGTCAGAAATGTTGAAAGAGAATAGGTACTTTCACTATCAGAGATGGTTTCCTCTTTTCCCACAAGATGTCTTATCAGCTTTCACCCTGAGAAAACCATAAAAATAAGAAAAAAAAAAAGCTTTTATGCAATAGTTCTCTAAATAAAATACTACACAACAGCCTAGTCATCCCTAAAAGTGATGTTGTTTGAAGAGTCAAAGTACATCATCCAACAAAATCAATATCCTATTAAGTTAGCAAGGTTTCTGAATATCAAAGAGCAACAAACTGAATAACTTAAAGTATAAGTACACGACCCAGGGGATTAATCACACACTGTCATGGTGAAATTAGGGCAATTCTTCCAATCATTAACGTTTTGCTTACAAAAATGTGCTTTTCTGTTTGTCTTTCTGCTAAATGATAACCATTTTCAAGTTGAATCTCCTGATAAAAAGAGTTAAAAAACAAGACAGGAGCTGTGCTGTAAAGGTCGTACATGCCGCTTCAACATGAAATAGCCAAAAGACAAACAAATAAAAAATGCCTGGATTGTAGGAAGAATTTGTAAATATTCACAGGCAGCCTGTGCTGGGGCACTTTAGAAACGTTAATGCCAACTTGTATCCTGAGAATACTGTACCTTTTCCAGCTAACATGCTCTTGATTCTTAAGGACATGTTTCATTCAGACAGTGAACAACTTGAAAAGAGCTAGGGTTAGATTTGAATTGGAAAACAGTCTGGTTTCAGAGAATTGTCAACTTTAAAATAAGACTTCACCCCTCAAGTTTTCAGCTATCAATCAATACACAAGTTGGTGTTTCTCTGCTTAATAGTCATGATACAGTTACTCATAAGAATAAATATTAACCAGAGGTTATCTGCAGAGGCAAAACACACATACAGATTTTGGGATTACTTTAATTCTAGGTTCACAAGCCTTCCTTCTATTCTCCAGAAATCTGATACAGACAGTCCCATTTTCAGATAAGATTGATTATGGCCTTTGAAACCTGATTGTAACTTGGAAGGCAGGTCTGGAGCTTGGGGCCAGCAACTGAGGGGAAGGAAACCTCTTCCACTTTGTGACTACGTTGGCTCCAACAACAAGAAAGTAGAGAATGGTGGGGGACAGGGGGAGCATGAACTGAGTTGGCAAATGGGACACGGAGGGGTCTTGTGGGTCAAGCAGACTATCTTTATTCTACAGATGAGAGCTCTGAGGCCAAGAACCAGAACTCCAGTGCAACTCTTCCTTTCCAGGCCTACCCACACCTCTCTGCTGAAGAATCAGTACTCATAGTCCCAAAAATCAAAATCACCTGCAATTCCAGGTTGTTTAGTTTTATTTTGAAATTCTACGGTGGCAAGACAGGACAATCTGCTAAGAGCCATGGTTTCTTCACTGTTTTGGTCTGAGGTTTTCACGTCTGGGGAGCCACATCCCTTGTCAGTCAGATTGAGTTAGGGCCATTCTGTTCCAAGCCCTCATCCAGTTCTACCGCATCTAGAGAACTCTATAGAGGCTAAAGCTAGAGGGGTAGATTTCTGAACCTCTTCCTCACAAGTCTTTCCACTGTTTTTCTGAAATGCCAAAGACCTGATGGCTCAGTTAGGCAGGGAGCTGGCTGCAGTCTAGTCACATCCAGGGCTGTCTGAAGCCTCAACTATGTCCGCCTATGCCTCAGCATCTTCATTTTCCCAAGTCCCACAATAACCCACCTTGTACCCTGAACCCACCTCTCCTCAGCTACTAAACCTCACTGCTGCAAGGATTCTGCTTCCCGTATCTCCCTCCTCCTGCACTGCAGCGCCAAGTCCCAAGCCAAGGTGAGCTGTCTCACTTGCTTCTGTCACACTAGGTGCACCTTAGAAAGTGTTCTCCACGTGTGCTCTCTGCGCCCACACAAATTCCCTCCGCCACCCTAGGAGTTCCAAACCCGGGGTGTGAGCCTGAAGCTTGCCCAGCAGAATAGTGTCTTGGCGCTGTCTACCTCTCTGCTCCCCCAAACACAGCCTAACCAAGTAGAGGGGGCTCCCAAGCCTCCACGGATGACGCAGTGTTGACTCACATTGGTCAAGGACAGCAAGCGCCCTGGCCAGCCTTGCAGTCCAGGAGAATCGATGGGTTCGGGCGGACCCGCGCAGCAAGCCGAGGCCACTCTTCCAGTTCTGGAAGCAGGCGCGGGGGCGGGGGCGATCCAGCTCCCAGAAGACACTCCAAGACACCCCCACCCCACCAGCTGCCAGCTCCCCTGCGAACGCTTCAAACTCACATTCAAGCGGCCCTAGTCCTTGCTGCGCTGCCACGACCCACAAAGAGCCCCCAGAGAGCTCAGTGTCCCAGATGCTGGGTCCCTGCCGGGCCCCTGAGCACCACCAGACACCCCCTGGACACTCTAACAAAAGCTGTGTTTCAGAGGGCCAGGGATATGTAGCTCAGAGGCATACGTGCCTGCCTGGCAAGTGCAAGGATCTGAATTTGATCCCCGATAAAACAAAAAACAAAACAAAACAAAACAAAACTGTGTTTGGCTTTTCTTAAACCAGAGAATGAGATGTCCAAAGAGGTCAGCTGTCCCAAGGTCAGATTTATTTTACAGGCAATGAACTCATTTTTAAAAAATTCTTGCCATTTTATTTTTTTACAGTGAACAATTCTATATACACAGGTTATAGACATTGTTTAATATAAAACACAGTATCTACAATCTACTTACACTAAACCTGGAATTCCTAATTCATCCGAGATTGTCAATCTCCGATAGAGTTAGTTTCTCTGCCTGTAGGACCGTATTATCTTAACACCTCCTTCAAACAGGTACTAAGTGATCGGCCAAAACAAGCATTTATCAATTCTGCTCTGAAATGGTTGTGGATTTAAGGCAACAGTTAAGAATATCATATAACAGTAAAGACTGTATCCTTTTAAAGCACTCCAAGTCTGCCTGAAATGTGGGCCCCTATTCCAAGGCACTGGATTTGGGGGTGCTTTTTGCTTTGCCACTAAGAAAAATGTAATTACAGATTACAGAAAGTCACTCAAGAAAAGCCCATTAAAACCTTTAAAGTTATAACTTAAAAAATTTAACAAAAGTTCAAAATTACTTTTTATAAATAGAAATAACAATTTACTTTTTTTCTAAAAAGGGGGTAGGGGTGACTATCAAAACAACCTAAAATTAGTACATATACCACTTGTTAAGTTAAAATTAAGGCTCCAATGTAGGTCTGATAATTAGCCAGTGCACCAAGTATTTTTAGGTTTCTAGAACACTAAAAAGTGGGTTTTCTTTCCTCACACAGTTTTCCAGTTCTTCCGTGAACAATTTCGGGAGCAAAATGTTATTTCCCAGTCCAGTTTTTTAAATGCGCCAGTGCTGGTGATCATCATCCAGCATTAAAGTAGCTTTTATCGCCTTCAATGTCCACTTCCTGGTCGGAATCCTCTGAAATCTCTGAGTCAAGGTCTTCCTGGGAGGCCGGGGAGGGTGAGCACTGTGAACTATCCAAAGAAGCACCTGTATTCTGCTCACTGGGCAAGTCTTGCCTCTGCTCGCACGGGTTGTCCAAACTTTCCAGTTCCTCCTTTTTATTGGTTTGAGGGTTCTCCTGGATAAGGGGAAGAAAGTGGAGACGGGTCACATCATGAAGCACGGAGAAGAGGCAACAGCAAAATGTCTTTTCATCCTGTACCATCTTTTTAAAGTTTATTAAATGTTTTTATAATCTTTCATTCAGAAAATACATACTTGTGATATTTCTTGATTTGAAATAAATAAGAGAAAAGGATAGCTCAGTGGACTAAGCACCTGCTTAGGCAAGTGCAGGGCCCAGGGTTTGATCCCAGGCACCACATGTGGTGCTGGCCTTGCACCAGGGCATGCTGAACCAGCCACCGTGACCCGCTGTGGTGGCACATACCTATAATCCCGGTGTTGGGGAGGGTGAAAACAGGAGGATTACTACGAGTCCAAGGTGTGAGGAGGCTGGGGATTTGACTCAGCGGTAGAATGCTTGCCTACCCAACTGGAAGCCCTGGGTTCAGTCCACGGCACCAAAATCAAAACATAAGCCTCCTCTAAAAAACAATTCAACAACAAAAATACAGTAAAGTCAAAAAAGACCAAAAATCAACAAGGCGACAAGCTGTGTAGTGAGATCCTTTACCAAACACAT